TAAGTATGAAAGCAAGACAGAGCCTTTGGCATTCACTCCCATGAAAGACCACACAGTAAGTTTCCAAAAAGAGCTTGGATTCCAGCATCTGAGGCAGTTTTGCTTCAGGTGAAGGCTATGCACTGAGCTACTGCTGAGTTATAGTAGCTGTGGTGGTTTCATCATCGCTCTGTTTCTAGAAATGGTAAGTCATTACTGTGCAGTGAGCTTTGAGATACTGTAATTTTAAAGGACACTAGAGAAAATCAAATTCTGTGAGATCTTTCGGTTATGAGCATTAGAGCTGTAAGCATTGGCTTTGCAGAAAGGGACATCTAGTGGCTATACAAAAAAAACCTTACTAAATTCATTTGTAAAATTACAGCGTAGCCATTTGCATGTGGCCTGCAACCTTTGGTATTCCATACACCTTTGTAGCTCTACAATATCATGTGTGTGCTTGGATTTTTTTTTTTAATGTTTTTGGCAAACAAAAAAAAATCACCTTTATGAGCCATACCTTTCTAGCTTTATGTAGGTGTAAATATGGTAGCTTTGGGAAATAGAAAACTGTCTTCAAGCCATGCTTGATGTACCTCACTGCTGCATTTCCACATTTTCTGTAGCATCTTCCAGGAGTCCACTGCCTGCTGTTTCCTTCTGCCATTGCTTTCCCCTTTGGTACTGTACTTGGAGAGGTTGTCATTGTTATTGTCATGATAAAATCTACTTTCTTTTGAATGCCCATAGCATAAAAGTCAGCGGGAGGGGTGGATGAGATTCAGGGAAACACTAATCTAAGCACTCAGTCATGTAGTACACAACAAAAGTTTTTTCCTTTCCCATCCACGTTGTGCTCCTTCTTACTAGTTGAGGATGAATTCCATGCATGTTTCTGTGAATAGCCTGACAGTTTAATCGGTACATTTGCATATGGGCAATCGGAGCTTTTTTCAAAGTTGCACAGTAATATGTTTCACCTTTATGCCATGCCAGCTTCAAATTGCATCCCAGGAGGATTGCAAATGTGTATAATCTGTGCAGTTGTCTGGGCTTTTTTTTTTTTCTGCTTTTTTCTTATTTTTTTTTCTTTTTATATCTTTTTTTTTTTTTTTTTTTTTAACTGGCAAATGCCTATTCATTGCCCATCTGGGTAAGAATGGCCTTTGCATTTTCACACCCATTCTTTCCTATATGGTTTGTGAATACCCCTCCAATCAGAACTTGCTTCACAGAAAGGCGATAAAACCATTTTACAGGAGTTTCTCAGAATAAATCCATTGGGATCTCTACATCATGTTTACCGGACAAAAAAGGAAGGGGGGGGGGGGCACTTAACAAAGACCGCTTGAATTTCACAGAAAGGTTCCCACTGTCTCGGGTTTAAAAGAGTGGCAGGCCTGAGAAGAGACTGAAACAGAAGTCTTTTTCCCGAGCCAGGCATTCTGTGCAGTGACGAGTAGGTGAGTGTGCATATGTGTAGCTGGGTCTTGTGAAGAGCTGAGACACTTTCTGGCTTGTCCAAGGCTCCTCTAGTAGCCTTTGTCAGAATATGGCATTTACTTTAGAATCAAACCTGCTTTGGCAAGTCCACCTTTTACCGGGAGCATCGCCTTTGGACTTTCAGCTTAGAACAGCATACAGTAGGGGACAACCACAAAACTTGGATCTGGATACAGTTTCCTGCAGGGAGGGAGAAGAGCTGCGTGGGACAGAGGGTTTTGCTACAGACCAATCTCTGGAACTTGTTAAAGCTGCTCTTTTATACTGCTGTGGTTTATGCAGTAGCATCTCTGACACTACTGCCAAGTATTTGGTTGCATTTACTTCGGATAGGTATGGGTTTTCGTGTTGAATGTCAGGGAAGGTGGCCTCAAAGAAAGATCCTCAAAATCTGTATTAACTTATTTTTATCATTTGTTATGTGTTTCTTCTACCCACCCCTATTGTTTTATCCTTAAGAAGGGAATTTCAGTTGTTTCTCAGTTGAAAAAGTGATAGATGTTCCAATTTCATTTGAAGAAGTAAAGAAATGAGGAGAGGATTTTTTTTTATGCAGTGACTCAATTGACTTTCAGACCAGTTCCTACACCACAAGGTGCATCCTAGATCAGTTCCTATAGGAGAGCTATTCACATCACTCTCATAAATGCATACAAACCTCTTTTCTTTAGCTTTGATTAACCCCAGCTGGCTGGTTCATCAAGTTAGCTAGTGACCAAATAACATTGTCGCTACTCAACCCCTTCTTCCCATAGCCAGGACCTGAGAAAGGTTGCTGAAACTTACAGGTGAACCTTGCCCTTCCTCTTTTCTGTACATGATTTATGGATAAGTGGCCAAATTCACTTTCCCAAGAAGTCATCCAGTCTCAGCTTTCTGAAAGGAGTTGTCCTGAGGATGTATTTTTCAAAGTTCCACTCACAAAATTCATTTTATATACCAAGGTGCATAGGAACAAAGTAGATTTCTATGCACCTGCTCAAGTCAAGACACCTGTCCGTAGCATCTCTGGTACATGTGGAATATTCCACCTTGTGCATGTGCAAGCCAGGATTTTTGGTTTATTGTGTAAAGACTGCGGCATATTTCTTATTATTATCAAATACTACATTTAACAAAGCAGAACATAAACTAGAGGTCATTCCCTTTTCCAGAAGCACATCTTAGAGACATGTTTGCATAAAGAGGGAACCCTAGGGTCAAACCAAGTGATGAATGATACTTATTGATGGAAAGATTTCTAGCATACTGATAGGCAACCACTCAGAGGGAGATGCAGATAAATATGCAACCACTTGCCATGGCCTACAGCAATCTTGAAAAGACGTGTCATCTATTTATCATTAATTTTCCACCCTTCTATCTCCCCACAAATACAAAGCTTTTACCAAGCTGTCTTCCTTTCAGATCAAGGATTCTGTCTTTATGTAAATACATTTTGAATGCTCATGTGATCTGACATGTTGGGAGGGGAAGTGGAACTGCCCTGGAGGTCTCTGGAGAATTACTCTATCTGGAAGGAGGGAATACATCTCCTCTGTACATTATTTTGTGTAATAATAGTTGCAGTGCCCTTGAAGGAAAGTCTCCCACTCTCTAAGATGTTTTTCTAGTCCTAGGATCAGTCTCAGCAGAGGAGGAAACTCAGGTTTCCCAGCAGAGCCTATGAACAAGACAGATCACAACCTCCATGATACTGTTAGTGGTTTCCTCCTTGTTTCTGCTATGTGAGCATCCCAGTCTCACGTGGAAATTCTTACCCTTCTGATACTGGCTGGTTTACATCTGTTAACATCAGACTTCTTGGCCAGACAGCTTGGCCCCATCAGGATTTCCAGTTCCCGACATTTGTGCTTCCCTTTTATCATTCGGCTACTTCAGAGAATTAAAATAACCACCTGTGTCCAACAGTAGTTTCTCTTTGAACCGCCAGGAGTGGATAAATGTGAAGGAGAAGGCAGAGCAGGGAGGATGACACATTTTCCTGCAAATTGCAGTGAGTAGTGTTCTACTGCCTGTGTCTGAGACGTAAAGCACCCCTTAGGCTGGAGCAGAGGGACATTGTTGGGCTAAAAGGCATGTGTATTAATCTGCTTCCAGTGCCATTTATTTGCTCTGTATATTTCTTTAAAACAGACAGTGACAAAAAGCTAGTTTAATTTTCTCACACTTCTCTACCAAATTTCATTTTTGGATTCTCGCACATCAACGAGTAATTGTGGCAAGAGGTGTTGTAGCTTTTGGTAGGAATATTCAAGACAAAATTCCTGTAATACTAGTGGTGATTTTGCATTACTATGTGTATTTTTCTGGGAACCAAGGTGATGCACATGCTACAAATGCTAAGAGAAAGAAATAATAATGTTTTATTTGTTTACCACTCAAAGGGCAGTTGGTTCTTCATAGTTAAAAGGTGAAACCATAGTTTCTACCCATCAAAATCTAAACAGATGAAAAATGAGTAAAAAACAAGAAAGTGAAAAAGCATTAATACAGAAGCAAGCAAGATGGAGATAGGGAAAAGTGGATTTAGAGGTTAAGAAGTTACTTTTTGGTCACTTGTAAAAGTTAATTTTGAAAGATATGTTGGGTCTGTATCCAAATTGGTTAACCAGGTGCTTTTCTAAACTGTTTTCTATTTAGATTATTCAGCCAAACTAAGACAAAGTCTTCCTTAGAGTAAATGTCTGTAATTTTCCAGTTTCTGTCAAGTAAATAACAGCAGGAGAACATTTGTTTTTATATGATGGCATTCTGGTGCCAGTCAGAACTTGGGATATGCTAAAAATGAAGGGGACAGCTCATGTTAACTTTTTGCTTTGGATTCTTACAGAGGACTGTTTGTCACTATTGCGTAGCAAATGTTCTAAACCACAACCCCAGACAAAACTGTGCGTGGGATTTCAGAACATTTACAGCCTAAATCTTGAACCAGATTTCGATTTTACAAAGTGACTGCCAGTTTTTTTGATACAAGTAACTGCACTGTAAAACACAGGATCCAAAATCCTTAAAATACCAATCTAGATAGAAGTCACATTTTCATATGGACTCTTTACGTTAACAACTTGGTGTAAGGGGTCATTAAAGTAAGAATCTGATTTTTTCTGACATGGCTCCACATCTGAACAGCCCAAAAATCCATGTGCTCAGTGTTTACAGTTGACTGGCTCTAGGCTTTTTAAAGCCAGATAAACTGATAGGAAGTCCAGGGCCCAGGAATGTGGTTGGAATTTAGGCACAGCTACACCTGTCTTTGTCTGCTTTTGCCCCAAAATTCAGGAGTTGAGCTTCTGCAAATGAGTAGCCAAGTTTACTTCTAGCCTTAAAGAGATGATGTCTTCTTTTTGGTGACTTTGTAAGTGATTTTTACAGTATAATCTATTTTGTTGACCAGTCACCTTGACCAGTGCCCTGACTCCGGCTCTGCAGAAGAGAAGACTCAATCTGTTCTTTTTTTTTTTTTTTTTTTTTTTTTTTTTTTTTTTTTTTTTTTTTTGTCACCTGCTTTGCTACAGGTAACATCAGTTGCAAGGGGATGACAGAGCGCATTCATAGCATCAACCTTCACAACTTCAGCAATTCTGTGCTCGAGACCCTCAACGAGCAGCGCAACCGTGGCCACTTCTGTGACGTGACGGTCCGCATCCACGGGAGCATGCTACGCGCCCACCGCTGTGTGCTGGCGGCTGGCAGCCCCTTCTTCCAGGACAAACTGCTGCTGGGCTACAGTGACATCGAGATCCCCTCGGTGGTGTCAGTCCAGTCTGTGCAAAAGCTCATTGACTTCATGTACAGTGGGGTGCTGCGGGTCTCACAGTCAGAGGCCCTCCAAATCCTCACAGCTGCCAGCATCCTGCAGATCAAGACTGTGATTGATGAGTGCACAAGGATTGTCTCACAAAATGTGGGAGAGGTCTACCCGGTGATTCAGGATTCTGGCCAGGAGACACCCAGGGGAACACCCGAATCAGGCACCTCGGGGCAGAGCACCGACACAGAGTCTGGCTACCTGCAGAGCCATTCACAGCACAGTGTGGACAGAATCTATTCGGCCCTCTATGCCTGTTCCATGCAAAATGGCAGTGGGGAGCGCTCCTTTTACAGCGGAGCTGTGGTCAGCCACCATGAAACAGCCCTGGGGCTCCCCAGGGACCATCACATGGAAGACCCCAGCTGGATTACCCGGATCCACGAACGGTCACAGCAGATGGAGCGGTACCTCTCCACCACTCCAGAGACCACACACTGCCGCAAGCAACCACGCCCTGTCCGAATTCAAACCCTGATGGGCAACATCCATATTAAGCAGGAGATGGAGGATGATTATGACTACTATGGCCAACAGAGAGTGCAGATCCTTGAGCGCAATGAGTCCGAGGAATGCACTGAGGACACTGACCAAGCAGAAGGCACTGAGAGCGAGCCCAAAGGGGAGAGTTTTGACTCTGGAGTCAGTTCCTCCATTGGCACTGAGCCCGATTCCATGGAGCAGCAGTTTATGGCTGGGCTGGGCCGGGATGGGCAGCAAGAACCTTCTCAAGCAGATCAAAATGACATCCCTGCTGATGGCACTCAACCGCAGCAGCAGCAGCAGCAGCAGCAGCAGCAGCAGCATGTAGATGCCAACTCTTCCTCGCCAGAGAGAAGCAATGATGTTGAAATGGACAGCAAAGTACTCACAGTCAATAACAGCACCGAAAAGGGGGCTTTGCAGCCTTCTGTCAACACAACTGTTGCCCAGCCATTGCCAACCACACAGATCTACTTACGCCAGACAGAAACCCTCACCAGCAACTTGAGGATGCCACTGACTCTGACCAGCAACACTCAGGTCATTGGTACAGCTGGCAACACCTACCTGCCTGCCCTTTTCACCACACAGTCTGCTGGCAGTGGCCCTAAGCCTTTTCTCTTCAGCCTGCCCCAGCCTTTAGCTGGCCAACAGACACAGTTTGTGACAGTGTCCCAGCCTGGCCTGTCAACCTTTACTGCCCAGCTGCCAGCCCCACAGCCCTTGGCCCCATCTGCGGGCCACAGCACAGCAGGTGGGCAAGGTGAAAAAAAGCCTTATGAGTGCACTCTCTGTAACAAGACTTTCACCGCCAAACAGAACTACGTCAAGCACATGTTTGTACACACAGGTAAGTCTACCTCCCTTTGGCTTATGCATGAAGCCAGAAAAAGTCCTTGACAAACATGGACTTAGATTCAATTTCCCAACCTGCCAGGCCCCAGAACAAACAGGAGGGAGAGGTCATCCAGGGAGCTGGTATGACTGAACACTTTCCGAGCTTACTGCATTGAAGTTGGGCCCTTGCAGAAATGTATAGGTCCTTTACAGGGGCCTAACTGTGCATGGAGCAGAAACAACATTAAGTAGAAATGGCATAAGGAAACTGTAGTAAGTGATTCAAGAAAGACTCTATCTACTAAGAAAGGCATCCCCCTGTAAGTTTTACAGCTACAGGGGTTTAAACTCAAGTGATGATGTTTGGCATGAGCTTAGGACAAGTTCATTCCTGGTAGAGTTGCAGCAGTAGATCCAGGCCTGGGTGTTGCACACACCACCACGTATTTTCTAAATCTGACACATTGCTATAAGAAAGTAACTGTGGAGTTTTTTCAGAAAGTTTTTCTCCACTGAAGCTATTTATCTTGGTAAGTCAGATGTTTCACTAGCTGTGAGTACAGAAACATAGGACTCAATAAGAAAAATTTAAAATATCATAGAATCATAGAATGGTTTGGGTTGGAAGGGACCTTAAAGACCATCTAGTTCCAATACCCTGCCCCAGGCAGAGACACCTTCCACTAGCCCATGTTGCCCAAAGCCCTGTCCAACCTGGCCTTGAACCCTTCTAGGAGGAGGCAGCCACAGCTTCTCTGGGCAACCTGTGCCAGGGCCTCATCACCCTCACAGGGAAGAAATTTACTCCTCATATCTGATCTAAATCAACCTTCTTTCATTTTAAAAGTTACCCCTTGTCCTATTCCTACACCCCCTGATCAGGAGTCTCTCCCCACCTTTCCTGTAGCTCCTTTAAGTACTGGAATGCTGCTCTGTCTCCCTGGAGTTTTCTCTTCTCCAGGCTGAACAACCCCAGCTCTCTCAGCCTGTCCTCATCAGAAAGGTGCTCCAGCCCCCTCATCATCTTTGTGGCCCTCCTCTGGACCTGCTTGAGCAGGTCCATGGCTTTCTTACACTGGGGGCCCCAGAGCTGGACACAGTACTCCAGGTGGGATCTCATGAGAGGGGAAGAGAGAGGGAGAAACCCCCCCCTTGCCCTGCTGCCCACACTGCTCTGGGTGCAGCCCAGCACACAGTTGGCTTTCTGGGCTGTGAGCGCACATTGCTGGCTCATGGTCCGTTTTCCATACACTGATACCCCCAAGTCCTTCTCAGGGCTGCTTTCAATCCACTCCTCACCCAGCCTGTGTTTGTGCTTGGGATTGCCCCGACCCATGGGCAGGACCTTGCCCCTGGCCCTATTGAACTCCATGAGGCTCACATGGTCCCCCCTCTCCAGCATGTCCAGGTCCCTCTGGGCACATCCCTTCCCTCCAGCATGTCCCCGCACCACACAGCTCGGTGTCGTCAGCAAACTGCTGAGGGTGCCTCGATCCCACTGTCCATGCCCCCAGCAGAGATGTTAAATAGCGTCGGTCCCAACACCCACCCCTGAGGAACAGCACTCCTCACCGCTCAACACTGGGACACTGAGCTGTTGACAGAAACTCGTTGAGTGTGACCATCCAGCCAATTCTTTCTCCCACGAGTGATCCATCCATCCATCCATCCATCCATCCATCCATCCATCCATCCATCCATCCATCCACTCCATGTCTCTCCAATTTAGAGACAAGGATCTCATGCAGGACAGTGTCAAAATACATAGAACACAACATTAGCACCCTTTTTGTTTACAACTGCAACTGCTTTAGTATACAGTCTCTTGAGACAGTATAGGTAACCCTATTTACGATGGAGCCAAAATGCCTTTCCTATCTTTGTCAAGTTATGATACTTCAGAGCAAGGAGATGCATGTACCTCACATGGAGAAGAAGCTGTCCTGGCTTCAGGACTATATTTTGCTTGCTTTAGCCCTCGGGTTATTCTGACGTTGGAGAGAAATTCTGGTTTAGACAAAGAGTAAATATTTCTCTCACCAGGCAGTGGTTTTGTTAACGTCAGATCTTTAAATAAATGCTCTGTTTGTCATACATGGAGTAGAACCTGAAGAAATTGCCCAAGGTATGGAAGGAATGTAAGTCATGCCTCCCTGTTGTATCCAATAGATTTCACTTCCATGTGTGCATGTAAACTTTTAACTCCTATTTACCTATAATTATCACTTAAATGAAAAATTCCTCTAGATATCTAAGGCAGACATGTACATGTACATATACAAAAAAGGTCGACTTCTCGTGACTGGTACAAAATGTATGATTGCAAGCATCAAGAACCCTGAATCCCAAGATTACCCTTTGTGTCTGTTTATGTTCTCCATCTTTCTGTTGTGGATGATTAGCTAAAATACTATGTAGATAGTGCTGTGTTATTCGGAAAAGCATCCCCTTCAGAACACAAATATATCTGCCAGCATCCTTGTTCTAAAAGCTAGAAAGGCTTTTTCACAAATAACTTCACTGAGATTAGGTGCTTTATTTCCCCTACCCCAAGCTGTGCACTGCATTGTGTATTTGGAGTCAGGTAAAGAATAATATTGGAAGACCTGACTTACTACACATAAAGTTAACCAAGGAAATTGATAGGCATCTCCATCATGAATTAAGATTGACTCTTCAGGATTTAAAACAGTGCCAGACAGACTGTAAAAAGGAGGAAGCAGGGTGTCTGTGAAAAAAAAAAAAAAACAACGAATATCTGCTAGAGGGGAAATTGCAGAATGACCAAAATAACTTTTCGGTCAGTAAAACAGAGGATCATTTTGATTGTTACAGAGCTGTGGTATCATCTCTCTCCCTGACAGCTTTGGGGATGATGAATTACCACACCTGGAATATCCCAGAAGTGATTCAGAAAACAAATTAAAAAGCAGCTTTTGATGGGGCATTCAGGGTGTCGGGTATTGTCTACATTATCAGTACAGCAGCATATCATGAAAATGTTGCCTGATACCATGAAACATGAGGCTGTGGCATTGTCTCCCAGAAGAACTCTGAGCATGAGGAGTAATTAAGAGTAGTCTGGACAAACTAATCATATGTGCTTAGCTGAATATTTTTTTCTGTTCATCCTCGTAGTCACTGGTTTGTCTGGATATGATCAGAGTTCGCTTATACGATTTGCCAGAATCAGTTTTACAACAACCCTGGGAGTACAAGACAATGTGGTAGATAACAATAAATATTTTATATCTCTGGTTTACCTGATAAGGTGTTTTAGTTAATTGGCAGTCAAATAATTTAAATTTCATGTCTGTTACACTGGAAGCTTATCACAGAATCATCTTGGTTGGAAAAGACTTTGGAGATCCTCCAGTCCAACCATGAACTTCACCCTGACTGTTCCCAACTCCACGAGATCCCTCAGCGCTGGGTCAGCCCGACTCTTCAACCCCTCCAGGGATGGGGACTCCCCCCCTGCCCTGGGCAGCCCATTCCAACGCCCAACAGCCCCTTCTGCAAAGAAATACTTCCGAAGAGCCAGTCTGACCCTGCCCTGGCGCAGCTTGAGGCCATTCCCTCTTGTCCTGGCGCTGGTTCCTTGGCTCAAGAGACTCATCTCCCCTCTCTGCACCCTCCTTTCAGGGAGCTGTAGAGGGCCAGGAGGTCTCCCCTCAGCCTCCTCTTCTCCAGACTAAACCCCCCCAGTTCCCTCAGCCGCTCCCCATCAGACCTGTGCTCCAGACCCTGCACCAACTCCCTTGCCCTTCTCTGGACACACTCCAGTCATTCAGTGGCCTTGTTGGGGTGAGGGGCCCAAAACTGAACCCACTCATCGAGGTGCGGCCTCACCAGTGCCAAGTACAGGGGTCAGATCCCTTCCCTGTCCCTGCTGGCCACTCTATTGCTCATACAAGCCAGGATGCCATTGGCCTTCTTGGCCACCTGGGTTATCTGTTAGGTTGCCCTTTGCATGATACTGGCTGGCCTAAGCAATTCTATGTACTGAGGTTCCCTTATCAGTTACTCTTACAGCTTCAGCTGTGAGATTTGACCAGAAAAAGGGCAATAAATGTAAATTTCTTATGATGTTGGATTCCTTTGGCAATCGCTAGCATTTCTGTTCTGAAAATTTAAAGCAATTTGACAAGATGAGTGTGTTACAGGTAAGCTATCTACTAATCACTAGCTTTGTCTATACTTCTATTGCATACGGACAGGGAGATGGGGACACTGAAGGGTAAAGTACCTTGACTAAGACCTGTCTAGAAATGAGGGCAAGGAGAAAGGCAGGAGCACAGGCAGAAGAATCTGTGCCATTGAAGCTTTTAATTCTAGTCCTGTCTTTGCCAGTGCCTACTATGTGAACTTGAAGAAATCACCTGAGCTCACACTTTCACTCTATGTGGATTGAGAATACTTAGCAGTCCCCTCCGTAAGGCGTTTTGAAACCTCTGGTTGCAAAAAATGTTGGGTATCAAAACACACTTACTAACAGAATTACTCTTTCTTAGTCAGAGCACCTCTCCAAAGACCCCCCTTGAGACTTACCGCTAGTTTGTTGCAAAGAAATGTACTGAGCTGGTTTAATTTTTTTTTTGTCTGTTTTTTCTTTCTTTTCTCTCTCTGTTGGTAACGGACAGGTGAGAAACCCCACCAGTGCAGCATCTGTTGGCGCTCCTTCTCTTTAAAGGATTACCTAATCAAACACATGGTGACACACACTGGCGTGAGGGCATACCAGTGCAGTATCTGCAACAAGCGCTTCACCCAGAAGAGCTCCCTTAATGTGCACATGCGCCTCCACCGTGGGGAGAAGTCCTATGAGTGCTACATCTGCAAGAAGAAGTTCTCCCACAAGACCCTGCTGGAGAGGCATGTGGCTCTGCACAGTGCCACCAACGGCACGCCTGGAGCCACCGGCGCCAGCGCGAGGGCTGTCCCTGCCGGGGTGGTGGCCTGCACGGAGGGGACCACGTACGTCTGCTCTGTCTGTCCAGCTAAGTTTGACCAAATCGAGCATTTCAACGACCACATGAGGATGCATGTGTCAGATGGATAAGTAGAATCTCTCTCTCTCTCTTTGTTATGAACAAAAAAAATAGAAACAACAAAAAAAGCTATGGCACTAGAATTTAAGAAATGATTTTTGTTTCATTTTTACCTTTGTTTTCCTCCTTTTTTTTGGGTTCGTTTCGTTTTGTTGTTTTTGTACTACATGAAGAACTGTTTTTTGCCTGCTGGTACATTACATTTCCGGAGGCTGGGTGAATAATAATTTTCCCAGCCTCCCTCGGATGGTGGCCTTAAGGCCAGGTAGTGCTTCATGAGCTCCACTGGTTGGATCTCTAGCTACTGGCCTCTAAATACAACCCTTCTTTACTACAAAAAAAGAAACAAAAAAACCCACAAAAAAAAAAAAAAGACAGAAAAAAAAACAACAACAAACAAAAAACCAATTTCTTTTTTTTCTCACTTGTGAAGAGCACTAAAAAAAAAAAAAAAGAAACAAAACAAAATATATTACAAATCTACAAGGCCTACTGTCGTTATAAGTACACCGCTCGCAGTGTTTCAATGGACATACTTCACAATGCTGACCGCTTTTGGACTTCACAGTATCCAGTTAGAACTGTGGAATATTTTGCTTCTGGTTGAGCAGCAACCAGAGGAAACAAGGCCCTGCTGGTTTCCACCACGTGTCTGCTTTCTCACACACACACACACGCATCCACAAACACACAAAAGGGCTGAGGGGAGTGCAAGGCAGTGTGGCTTGGATAGTGTGGAGTCCCTGCAGGGTGAGGAAAAAGAATCAGAGGTTCCTCACCTGGATTCTGCTCCATCCCACGCTCTCTGGCGCACCCTCCCCGCTGCTTTTCCCATACCACCTTACAGCAGAAACCAAGAAGATTCAGACAACGAGCAACGGTGGCTTTTTTGTAATTTATTCAGTGTCTTCGCTGAGCCCAGGGCCTCAGCACAATCAAGAGGGACTTTCACAGAAGGCAAAGAGAAACACAGAGGAAAATCAAAGATATCAAGAGGTTGCAACCTATGGATCTAGGTACAAGAGAAGGGTTAGTTCCCACAATCTTTGCAAAAAAAAAAAAAGTTGCATCAGGATTTATTCTTGTGGAAGAAAGAGGAATAGAGGGTGGGTGGGGAGGGGAATAATAATTAAAAAAAAGAGTTCTTGGGACTTTTTTAATTCAAAATTTTATAGAGGGGCAAAAGTGACGTTTACCAGATAGAATGCTGATTTTTTTAATATATTTACAACAGTATTTGTGTAAAAAAAACGAAAAAAGTGAGATTGTTAAAAGTAAATTTTCTTTGTTTTCTTTTTTGTTTTGCGTACACTGCCACTAATATCTTCTCTTTTATTATATATATGAATATATATAAAAATATATATTTTATTTTAAATTGAGACTGTTAAGGTTAGCTAACCTGCTTCCAGATAGAGGGGGGGAGGGGAGATGATCTTGATTTTTATTTTAAAAAAGAGGAAGGATGTTTCTTAATTTTCTTTTCTAGTATTATTCTCTCTCTTTCTCTCTCTCTCTCTCTCTCTCTCTCTCTCTTTCTCTCTTTTCTAATGGAATCAAGAATTACCTGGGTCGATGAGGGGCTCTGTGAAGTCATCTGTGAGATTATCTACTAGAGTTTGTGCATCCTGCAGTATCATTGAACTGCTACTTTGTTTTTGAATTACGTGGTTCTCTTTTTGGCTCTTACCAAGGTTCTGTTGTTTCTTTTTTTTGGTTCCATCTCAGAATTTATTTCTGCTGAAGGGCAGTTCCTTTTGAGAAAGAGATTTATCTAGCAATGTCCCCTTGTTTTGGGGGATGATAGAATCTGTAGTCTTTTCTTCTTATTTGAAAAAGTAATGAAAGTTTTGGAAGTGTGTAATAACTAGGATTTCCCTTCTTTTTGGTCACTGGACAAGAATTAATCTGCTGTATTGTACTCTCATCCCTGCCTTGCTCACTAGAGAGCTTTCATATTTGTGTGGGAATCTGATCCTGCCCCTGGTAATTTGTGCTGATGCCAAAATAACTTAAAATGTTACCATTGCAAATAATCTTCCCTTCTTCAGTTGCATAAAACATATAACGGAAGGGCCACATCCCGCATTCTCTGCATATGCAAAGCTATGCAAGGAATGTAGGATCAGTGTGAAAGATTGATTCCTGATCTGCATATATATGTTGGTGTTTTGTATTTTGTTTTATTGTGTTTGAGCTGGTGTTCTCCCTAGTCTTCTGTGCATCTGTGTGAGAATTTTTCCCCCAAAGCCAACTCCCAAAGTACATGGGCCCTTAGTTCAGTTGGATCAGTGTCTGACACTATCTTTGTCTTGCTTGAAATCCGTAAGTAGGATTTGCACCAGCTGCACTCTGGACTTTATATTTTAGGCAGAGAAGAAGCACCTAACAAAAATATGCAAAAAGAAAAAAAGAAAAAAAAGAAAAATTGCTAGTTTAGCTTCTACTTGTGTCTATATTTAAATTAAGCTTTCTTAAGTTTACAAAACTTTGCTTGTGAACACTGAGCATTTCACATGAGACATTCTTTTATGCTGGACAACTTTCTAACTATTGACTTGATAGATCTCCATGTACCATTTTGCGTGTTCTTTACACCTGCAGCTTCTGTATGGGATGTCTGTGATTCAGCACAGGTAACCTCATTGCTCTGTTCTACACCTGTTCCATTACTGATTTATTTTGGGGAAAAAACCTGACAGGTGGTTCAGTCTCAGAATCTTTCTGTACCCTGCAAGGTATTGTTCAGCAGATCCTAAACAGTGAAGCCCCAATTCTTAGCTGCAGTAAGCAGCACAAAGAGACTTTGAGGCAAATGCTAATGAGCCTCTTTATGGTAACATCTTTTTTTGTTACAAGTTTGTTTGGGTAGTTCAAGGGAGCTGGAGAAGGAGCACAAGTTAGTTAACAAATTTTGTTCTCAAAACCACACTGGTAAAAGCAATGCTGGCATGTAAACTGAGAGGTGAAAAGACAAAGCCTAAGGTGCAGAGAGAGAGAGCTAATATCTGCCATGTAAAGACACACTAAATCCATACAGAAAATAAAGGTTCTGGAGACAAGGGTGTGGAAGAAAGTGGGCAAGGTGAACCTATACAAAAGGATTGAAGGTCTTTCTCTGAGGAAAGGATTTCTTTCCGAGATCATTAGTATTGAAGAGTTCTGTGTTCTCCCATAGGAGGAATTAATGAAGAATTTTACCCAGATTAAAAATCTGTAGCTGCTCATTTGTCATCTGAGGTCTGGGGAAAAGCTGTTTAATTTGCCATTGTTAAATCTGATCAAGGTGTAGCGTATTCTGGAGTATGGTTCTCATACCAGGAGAGATACGCCAGTACCCAGGAAATAAGAATCAGGGTTTACATCCACCAAAATCCAAATACTACAGTGTTTAGAGAGAAAAATCCCATCTAAATTTTAATTCTTTGGTTTTCAATCTTCCCTAAATCAAAAAAGAATTATCTTTGAAATGCAAATTTATTATGGGGCCTAATAAATTTGAAGTGAATTAAATATCAGTTGTGAATGAATGAAAGGTGCCAATTAAAAAAATAAACTTCTTAAAGTAAAGCTGAGGCATACTAGATTGAATTCTAAATCCCTTGTCAAAGAGTTTAGGCCAAGGTCTTCACAAATGGCTGCCTGAAGTATAAACTGATTTTGTTGAGCTTCCAGGCCCAAAAATTAGTGACTTGATTTTGTAAAACATGGAGCAACTTGCAGTATGACTGTAAATGTAGCTGAAAGTGCTCATCGGGTCACATAAGTGCCCTTCTGTGAACTTGGGACCTTAAACATAGACCCCTTTATCTTTTAAAATGTTAAAGGCTTTTTAATAATGCTTCCTCCCATCTGTTGAAATATTTATTTACTACTTGGAAACAGCTATAATATCTGAATCTTACCAGTATCTTTAAGCTTCATGTATTGCTACAATATTCCTTAGCAGAAAGAATACCTGTGGTGCACTAGCAGTCACAGTGGTCCACAAACTGCTGTTGACAGTGTTTCAGTGCATCCATCTCAGTATGCTTGAAAGGCTTCCTTCAAAACACCTGATAAAATTATATAGATGAGCAAGAGCAGACTGAAGCACACATCCCTCTGATGGAGCATGCAACATCCTGCATTCCTTGAACCTGATTCTCACTTTCCCTAAAGCTCTCTTTATGTTGCTTTGGCAATGGAAAAGGGCATTAAATAGGACATAAATTCAAGCACACAAATCAAGGCCTCTCTGCAAGGCAAAAGTGCAATAAAGGAAGCCTTAGAGTAAGTGAGAGGTAAGTGCCTTCTCTTACTGCTGCTGAGGCTGATGAAGTCAATTGAAAATGTAGGATTGGCCAGAGCAGATCTGCTCTGTGGCCCACCTCACCCAGTATTCTGTCTCTGACACGTGGCCAGTTACAGAGGATTTGAATGAAGATGAAAGACACATGTTGGATAATTACAAAGTAATAAGCTTAAGAGAAGATTTTTTTTAATCCTCATTAGCTATGTATCTGCTTAGAACCTAGACATAATAATTTATGGCCTTAACTTTTTATCCCATGTAAAAATGGTATATTGTGGCAGATAATTCTCATTATCCTTTAAAGATCTAGCTTATTGATTGCTAGGTGGCCCCAGTGTTATCCTGTGGAAGTGAGTTCCTCAGGTTAATTACCACCATGTCAAAATGATTCCTTTTCAGGTTAATTTTGTTGCTGTTCATTGAAACACCCTTGCTCTTGTATTATGTCAAATCATAATCAGAGAACCAAAATTTAACTTCTCTTGCCCATTCCCCTGAAGACTGCCTCTCTCTGGGAAATCTGAATCCACAAGGAATGCAGGACTACAATATCAGTGTGTGCTGGTCATCAAGGAGAGAACAGCTACTGAGTGTGTGCATGTGTGTGTCTGGGGTGTGTGCATTAGTGAGGTTCTCCTACAGTGATCTCCTCCAGATGACTAGCAAGTACAACTTGTAAATAATGGGAACATACAAGTAGAGTACACCAGTCTAGAAACTGTAATACGCTATTTCAGTCTGGTCTTTCCTCTTACAAAAGCTGTATTAATAGTCTATATCTATCTATTTAAACTATCTAAAAGATATAGATATTTTGCAGAAGCTGCTCTGGGGACACTTTCTCAGCAACTGTCATGCTTCCACTAGGACCACTTCTGGCCTATGCTGTTAGTTACTTTCAAAACCAGCTCAAATTCACAGCAACAAGGAAGAGTGGCATTTAACTGACTTTCTAAGAGAACAAGATTTTCCTCTGCACTCAGATCAAAGAGGCCAAGTGTCACCCATTTTTCTTCTTTCAATTTCTTTCTCATCCAAAGGACAGTTGAGTAATAACCCACATACCATCAGCCCCCTCACTTTTTACCAATCTCAGACTGATTGATTTCGGTCAACCTTGAACTACTTGATGAATGCTGTCTCATTAACATGGTGGATGAACAAACCTCTTGCTTTAGCGAGTATGATGCTAGTATGTCCTGCCTCTCTTAGTAATGAAAACAAATACCATACAGAGAAGGTACAAAACAGTATTTGCAGAAGTTTTAAGTCCAGTCCAAAATCAAAAGCACCCAAACAATTTCAAACATAACCAGACCTTAAGCATGCCTAGGACTGTAGATCTGAGACCCTTCTGTGAGTCTTATGCTGAGGAAATCCTTCAACTCTCACTGCTGAAGATGACTTGCCACTCAAAACGAAATAAATTATCAAATTAACACCTGGTGGCTCTTCTGTCAAGGAAAACTAGACCTTGGTAATCCAACCCTTTCAATTCAGCATCCAGCTCCTTTGAGCTATTGAAATAAACCTGATAGAAATGAATCAGCAGGTAGCCTAACTGAAGCAGCATCTGATCAGCCTAAAGCAAAATAGCTGCTTTTCACATTCCCTGTTTTTATGCTGGCTGTGAAAATTCGTGAAGGAGGTGTAATGTCGTAAGAACTTGGCCCTGAGAGGTTCTGAGGCTGCTCTGCTCCCAGGAGGCTTGTCATTCAGTCATATCTGGCCCCTAAGTGATCACAGCTCTGCTGAAGAAAGGCTTATGAGAGAAACTACAGATAATACTTTAAATCTG